GRRGGAGGRRGRGRRGGAGGRRGRRRRGRAGGARGRRRRGRAGGARGRRRRGRAGGAAGGAAGKAAGKAAGKWAGTTAGTTTGATYTACTTTTTCCATTATGGGTGGGCATTTGGCACTGACCCATGACAGTTTTCACACATAATCTGCCTTTGGGTAGCACCCGCATCCCTCAGTAAACCCCAGAGTATCACACATGCCTGAAATCCTATATCTGCTATCCTTGCCATTCATGTCTCATCTTGGTATTTAGGGTTCATACCTACTCATGCCTGTAGTACCTCCAGAAAAAACCCTATTGCCTGTAGTACCTCCAGAAAAAAAAAAAAAAAAAAAACATTTCTTAACAGTTCACTAGAGAAGATTATAATTCATAGAAACTAAAATTATTTTCAAATTGGAATTCTGTCCAAATACAAATCCCAGATGGATGTTCACGTGTTCCTTAGTGACCCCAGTCTGCAGAGATTTGTGTTTTCTCCACCTGCCTTTTTCATTTATAGCTCTCAGCATAAACTTAATCACATATATTTAACCTCTATAATTGTTCTCAGTATAAATTATTACTCCGACAGTGTTTAATATCCTGTCAGCAGGATCTACGTTATTCCATCTATATATCCCATGAAGTACCTAGAATACTACTTAGTAGGTACTCAAAATGTTCATAGATTTTATTTGGTAATGTCATAAATGGTAAATTGTAAAAGCACTTAATCTCTTCAATTATTAGGATTYTAGACTTGGGTTCTTACTGGTGTGTGAGTCAACTAACTCACTGTAAGCTGAGAGAATGTGTCACATTGACACTTACACTCTGCAGGCATCTCTGTGCCCTGTAGGTTAGAATGCAAGCACATGGGTTCTTTGTTCAACCTAGAATGCAGTAAATGCATGATGAATGAAGAAAACTTATTCTGTCAGATTACACGGAATGTCTGCAAGTTTAAACTCCCACTTTTGAGAAGACTSCTTCCCCAGCTGGAGGTGAACCTAGTAGGTAGTAAAGTCCCCTCTATGTTGGCCACAACTGACTGGCCCTGTGGTGTACAACTGACCTGAGCAATCTAGTCAGATCCTTCCTTATTCTTGCAGAAGAGTAGTTGAGGGAACTGGGGTACAAACAGTGACTAAGGAGGGCACTATGGACTATGGGCTGGGAATGCCACATGCTGCCATTGCAAGATGGAGAGAAGAGAAAGCTGATCTGTGGAGAGGACAAATGGAACAAAGGCCAAAAGGAAGAGAGTCCAGTCCTGTGGCAAGAACAGGGGAGCTTTGCCCCAGCACCCTTTCCTGACTCTGTTTCTAATCCCTTGGGAGATTAATTTACTTCCAGTCCTTAGTTTCCACGAGTCTTCATGAGTCAGTCCTGGGCAATGCCAAGCTAGTTATTAGGGTTCCTCACCACTGTGTTACCAAAATTGTTTTTTTTTTTTTCTATTTGAACACAAAAACTGTAGTAGAGTTTGAACTATAAGATAATGTGGGATATTTTTTTAGCTAGTAGTCAGACAATTTGCCCCTCTATCAGCTCTACCATAGGCTGTGCTTGACTAAGTAATGTCTTAATTTTCTCATTGCTGAGTTAACGTTGTTCATCTYGATGACATGGACGATTTCATCTCCCTACTTCTGTGATTCTGCCACAGCACCAGTTATGTCAATGAAAATGACAATAATAAATTAGCCAAATGTTTCCACATATTTGGACATTTGGTRACATGTGGAGAACATATCCAGGTATTTATTGCATGCTTTAATTTCCACTTAGATTAGTTAAATTTGGTACAGTTTCATTTCAAACTCATTTTTGCAATCTTTCACATTCATGTAGCACCAGACTTTATTTGTTTTATTCTGAGATATTTTCCGAATAGCAATCATGAAATCAAATTTGTGTTTAAATAGGCTTTTCTAATCCATGTGCATGGAACACCTGTCTTTTTATGTCTRCAGAAGGCTCTGTCTCATTAAAAATTAAGTACCATGATTTTGKTTTTTTGTTCTGAATATATTAAAGTATCTTTCCCAAAAACATTTATAAKATTTCCTGGTTGCAAGTAAATGTAAAAAAAAAATTAAAAATTAAAAAAAAATAAAAACTTGGAGTATGGACTTAATACTAATAAATACAGACCCAAGGACCAGAAACAGAAAAGATGCCATGTTGGGGGGTGGGGGGACAAGAAACACTTATCACATCCARCTCTAAATTTTTAATAAACCATTCATTCTAGGTTCTATAAAATAGGATCTTAGATGGTTAGATTAAATTGCCATTGTTAATTCAGAAAAAATTTTCAAGTCATAATTCATTCTATTCTTATTTCTTATTAAGCTGCTACAAAATATGTCCCCTGACCCAAGTTCAATACTGTACATAAAATTATATTCCTGTTGTACAACAAAGTCTGCCTAAAACAATGAAAACAATGWTTTAAAATGCTGTCATAACTGAGTCCAAATCCAAAATGTTAGTTTTGCTTATGCAGTTATCTACAATATTCTGATTCCATGGGGAAACTCATATTACAAACAGGGCAGGATTATTTGGAAGGACCAGAACTCATGCCTAGAGCCAAAACATTAGCCCAGTGTCTTAGTCCATAACATACTGCCATCCAACCCMGTGCAGATGACCATTTGTTCCTGGCTCAGATACACATAAGCAGTTAAGGAGCTTACTCAAAGGCATGAACCACTCTCTACATGGTGGAAACCAACTAGTCTCAGCATCCAGACTCATCCTGCCATCTTTTAGTTTTTCAGTCCTTGGGTCTGTATTGATTAGTCATGCTCCAACTTTTTATTTATTAATTTAATATGTTTTTTACATTTACTTATGACCAGGAAATCTTATAAATGTTTTGGAGCAGAACAGCAATGTGGGTGACTGGCAGGAAAGGTATGATAAAAGCTGTCTGATAACCACAAATGGGAATAAAACTAAGAGATATGCCAAAATTGGGACTTCAGAAAATCTATGAACAGGTACAAAAAAATAAAAAATAGTTTAATTTAGATGGTGCATGAAGGTAGTTAGTAGGAAATAAAACTAGAAGTTTATGTTGGAACCAGATTATAAATGACACTATTTGGCAAGCCAAGGAAGTCAAAACTCAAAAAATATCTGAGACACC